TGCGAGCGTAGTATTACATTATTTTTACAGTATTTTAGTATTATCGTATTTTATTACTTAAACCACATCGCTCGATGCTTAAAAATTTTCATGAAAACTTACACAATTTACATATAAAGAAGAACATCTACGAGCAAACTGAAAGTTCACGTGAAATATTTCACGTTTTGAAAATTCACCTTTCACGGTTAACGTTCGTCTCATTTATTAAATTTATTCATATTATATTATTATATTATATCATAACTATAAATTTAAGTTGTATAATGCTTAGTAATGTATATGTTATATATTACATAATATATATGTTATATATTACATTGTGTATACTGTAATTATATTTTAATTTTAATAATCTATATTATATAAATATTGCTTTCCACATTTTCATTGTTCACTTTTCATGTGAAATAACTTACAGTAAAAAGTGAAAAGTAAAAATGAAGTTCACGTAAAAGATTCATCATCGCGGGTGTATATCAGTTGGACACGGGGCAATTGGACACAGTCCAATCACAAGTCGCTGTTTCAAGGGACCCTACAAATGTCTCTAATCACACGGTGCTGTGATTGGCTGTGTCCAAATGCACCGTGTCCAAGTGCACCGCTCCCCATCATCGCTACTCAGATACAATGAAAACTATAATCTAGATGCACTTTAGTACAGGTTGCTCGACCCAATATTTCTGTCTTGCGTCCGCGCGATCCGTGCGTTAGTATTCATGCCTCTTCACCAATTTGCATGAAACTTCGTCAGTTCGTATTTTGATACGTAGAACTTAAACCTGTAAAAAAGAAGTGTCGCTCTTAAACGGATTAAAAGTTATGAAATGTTGAAAAATGACATTTGTGTTGTGGGGTAGGAAATCTATTTTGTCGACGATGCGATGTGGAGTTAAAAAATCTGTCAGTGCATTATCGATACTTCATAACTTTTAACCCGCTTGAGAGCGACACTTTTTCTTGCAGAATCATGTTCTACTCATCAAAATACACGATCTGACGAAGTTTCATGCAAATCGGTGAGGAGACCCCTCTGCTTCATAATTATCACTATTTTGAAGAATTATTTTAACATCATAAATGAAATTTTTATATGTTGACATACTTGAGATATCTTAAAGATATCCCTTTTTGAGAAATCGTTTTTACATCTTTCTGTGATACCTTTCGGTCCTCAAAAAACGGCGCATTAGATAATATTTTGTTATCGTTTCGACAGCTTTTCGAAGCCTCTTTATGTTATCAGATTCCACATTTAGATATCTTTTAGAGATGTTTTTGATAATTTTTTACCCAGTGGGTTTTATATCGCTGATATGAAAGTTCTACTTCTATCCGTTTAATGATGCCACATATTTTTGTAAGCCGTTGCAAATTGTTCAAAGTTACCCCGGTGTTCCAAGTTACCTCAAGTGACGGTATTTTAAATGTTTTAAAAAATATTGAACGTTCTTTTTACAATATTATATATATATTATATAAATATTCTTAATATATATATATATATATATATATATATATATATATATAATTCATATATTATATATTTCTTATTATATAGGGTGTTCGGAAAATCGTCCGAAATATTTAGGGACGTGATTCGGGACCCAAAAGAAGGAAAACAGCTATATAAAGCTATATAAAGCTATATAAACAGCTACATAGATCTGAAAATAAGTCGTTTACGAGTTATAGCCACTTTTATGTTTAAAAAATCGTAATTTACATCCCCCCTTTTAAAATTTTTTTAAATTTTAATTTTTTAAATTTTCATTTCTTAAATTTTCATTTCTTATTTTTTTAATTTTCAAATTTTATTTTTTTTAATTAACAATTATTATTTATTTTTTTTTTCAATTTTTCGATATTTGTAAATACATTATTTTTTAAATCAATCATAAACATGAATAGGTATTTAAATCGAATTAAATAAGGTGTTTAAAATGACCGCCTTTAGACACGTTCGAACGTGTTTGAACACGTCTTAATGTAAGGCGGTTAAGTTGAACAACTTGTGATAACTTGTGACAACTTGTGACAATGGATTTTTCCGAGCTTGTTGCGCGACTTTATTTCTCCTTATATTATATGGAGCACAATTTGCGTGGAAAAGCGGAACGGTTTGGTGACAAATAAACATCTATATTTATTTTTTTAAATTATATTAACTTAATTTATTGCAATTTTTACTAATATGTTTATCTTTTCAGTTTATGTGTTGAATACAAGCATTATAATTAATAAATACCGTTAAAAATTAATATTTTATCATTCCCTATACCGCTTTTCCGCTCAAAATATGCCTCATGTAATATAAGGCAATCAAAACAGACGCGGAACGCCTAGCGGATCTATTAAGATTTTGTCTTCCGCGTTTCCGCACTTCATGTAATGGCACCCTTAGTTTCGAGTCAGCGATATATATGCCTCTCTATAATCCAAGTATTTCATGTTCTGACTCCAACTCTGAAATAGAGACCGGGTTATTGAGAGACGTACATCTTGACAGCAGCGTAGAAATTTGGAATTCTTACATGCCGCTGTCGATTTAGTATTAAATATTCTTCTTCTCTTTCTTCTTCTTCAAATAACATGTTCCATATATCTAGGTCCATTGATGCTACTTGTATATACATTAATATAATTAATTATTCATTATTACGTAATATTAGTAAGCAATAAAATAAGTAATTGGAATAAAAGATAATTCTTTATAAATGTTGCATATCAATAAAAGGTAATTATTTAGAAGACGGTCCTCATCTCCGATTTCGATGAAAGTAGGCTCAATCGATGCGTTTTTGCATGCCAAACAACTTTTTCCTCTGACAAAATCGTCGCTCTCTACTGCGAAGCGAGATATTAATTGTTAAATATGCTAAGTATGATAGGTTAGGAAACCTGTCATTGCAACCTGTCATTGCAACCTGTCATTGCAACGTAAAGTCTGTAAAGTTGCCTTTTCTATACTAGTGCAGTAAGTACTGCAATGTCGAACGACGAGCGAGGGGCTGTACCCCTCCGCACCCCTCTAAAACCTAACCCAACCTATTGTCACATTATCCGTCAGTCATTGTTTATTAAAGTGTCCAACTTTTTTTCTTAATAATTTTTTAATAAATAATGACTGACAGCTAATATGATGATAGGTTGGGTTTGGTTAATTTTTTGGAAGGGTGTGAGGGGCGCAGCCCCCCGTCGTCGTATGATATTGCAGTACTTACTGCACTAATACTAAAGGCAACTCTACGAACAGACTTTACGTTGCAATGATAGGTTTCCTAACCTATTATACCTAGCATCTTTAACAATTAATGGGTGCTTTCCAGTTGCGTGCACTGTGTTACACAAAACCAATTTATTGGTTGCATATTATCTTACAAGATATTTTAGATAATATGTGACCAATAAACTGATTTTGTGTACGTGTGTATCAAGATGTGTTAAGCAATTAGAAAGCACCCAATATTTCACTTCGCAGTAGAGAGCGACGATTTTGTCAGAGGAAAAAGTTGTTGGCATGCAAAAACGCGTTGATTGAGCCTACTTTCATCGAAATCAGAGGTGAGGATAGTCTTCTAAATAATTACTGTGCAAATTGTTAATATAAATTTAGATATATGTAACAGCATATATTTACATACTTAATATATTTGTATTCTACGTTGTTAGCAAGATGTAGTATCTCTCAATAAAACTCGGTCACTATTTCAGAGGCTGTGTTCAGAAACCCTACTCGGTGAGTAGAGTAAAATTTAATTAGCCAATCAGAGCAAAAGAAACTAAGATTTATTTATTATGATTGATTTATTAAAGTAACTCTACTCATCGAGTAGGATTTCTGAACATAGCCAGATAGAGTTGGAGTCAGAACACGAAATACTTGGATTATAGAGAGGCATATATACCGCTGACTTGAAACTAACTCGGAGCGCTTTTCCGTAAACACGGACATACTCTGGCAGTCTAGTGATTTTAGCACTAAAGTGCTTGCAGCGCTTCGCAGGAACATTCGTATTATCGATATCACAATCTACATGTCTTCCATACTTGACGGTATACGTTTTTCCCCCACTAGTCGATCGCGACGAGCGCAGCCGTTGATTCGCGTCGTGAGCAAACGCATAGAATCGACAAGATCGAGCAGTCGCGGGGGGGCTCGTAGGGTCAGCGGACATATTATGTCAAAGCGATCTGTCGCGGCATATCGATGAGTGCGAGCGCGACCCGTCGTCACACTCGGAGACTCTTGCACTCGTATGTGAGAATATCGTCGTTATTATCGTCGTCATTGTCGCTCTAGCCGTCGACGTTATTGTCGTTATCATTGCTGTCGCGTAAACGTCGACGCTCGTTTAGTTCTGTGCAGCTCTTACATACGCAGTATCAGAACGAGCGACGTCAAGCAGCGGAGTGCCGGATGCATTTTAAACGCGTGTTGTCGCCGACCCGGACGTGGGAAATCTGATCGCCATCCGACACGATTATACGCACGATATAAACTTCCCAGGACACGTCGCCGTCGTCGCCGTCGCCGTCGGCCAGGATAGCCACGCGCGAATGTGCGTTCTTCACGGTGCCGTCATCGCGCGAACGTACGCGTCTGTAACCCTTTTCCCGAAAGCGCCGCTATGCTGACGCTGCAGCATCAATTGTGAGTACCTGTCTCTCTTATCCGGTCCTATCGTTGGGAGAACAGTTGATCCTGTCGATATACGCGCGAATTCGCACACTCTTTGAAATGTATGGCCGTGTGGATGTGTTACTGCACTTTTTTTTATGTTTTTGAAGCGGCGGCCCATGTCATTATTTTTTCCATTCTTCTTGTTTTTAGAGGTTAATCGCGGCGGAGTCAATGTGAATGCTTCATTTTTCACGTCTTTTGTAGGCGGTTATTTCGTTTTGCTTGTAGAGAATTGGGATTGAAATATTTGGCAACTAATCGTGGAGATAGTGCTCGCGATATTTGCTCGCGTCAAATGGAGCATATCAGCTGTTGTTGAATATTGATTCGTATTTACTTTACGCAAGACTCCAATTGATTGGCCAGGTTTGTGAGATAGATCGAATAAGTAGATTATCGTTAAAATGTTCCACTATAGATTTATCGAAGAATATTGTTGTCTAAAAGTACTGAGATATATATTTGTAATTACAGTATATTGTAATAATGAAAGATACAGTGTATGGAAAAGACAGCGTGCAAAAGAATATCATTAACACGCTTTGGAATTCATTTCATATTTCGTCCATTTTTATTTGATAGGTCTAAGATCGGTTTTCAATAGTGGCTAATTTAAATTGCTAAATACGTCACGTTATATCAGAATCGAGTTTTAACGTAAATCTACGTTTAAACTATATTGAAAAAAAAGTTTATAGTCTTAAAATTTTATGCTATCGGCGTTATGATTAATATTATTATATTTATATTTATTATATATTATATTTATATTATTTTGTTATCGGTTATTGCCGATATTGATATTTATATGCATCGGGACTTTAATTAATCGCCGAGATTTGGAAATATTCTAGAAGCGAATAATTATCGTGAATCTTCAAATTTTTCGAGAAACCAGCGTCTGAAACGCAAGATGAAATAATTCCATGACATGCTGTACAAATTACGTTGTTGAAATTTATGTTGAGAAGTAAAGTAAAAGTATCAATGCTTGGACACTAATAATATTGGAACCTTATTTTGGACATTCTTATTGTTTTGGCTTTTAAATATGAATATTTAAACTTTCACAACTTAGGATATACATATATATCTAGTATAAGTATGTGTGCGTGTGTGTATAGTTGGCCAAATTAGAAAATTTCCTAACATCAATTTTTGACGAAATTGAGATACTTATTTCGTCCGATACTTGTTTCGACATTTTGCATCGTTTGGAAAATCTTTTGTAAAATCGGATTTTATGAATTAGAAAGTTTTTAAATTTATTCGATGATATTCTATATTGAAAATTAAAAAATTCATATTTGAAGATTGATTTGAATAATAAAAATATCCACAGTTAAGTACTAGTGTTATTAGTGTCCAGGCATTGGTACTTTTATCTTATGCAACGCAAATAGAGGACACATTATGAGAAGCTTCATTCTTCGACTAAATTAATTTAGGTATATTTGATATTGTCCGCGTGCCTGTGCGATGAGGGAATTGGCAGGATGGCTTTGAAATACATATTTATCTAACGTGAACTGTGCACTATCGATTGTTCTTAATTAAACAACACATCTGACGCATCCATATAAAACGAATGCGTTCTATGAATCGCAATTTAATTTCGATGCGTATTTATGACAAAACGTTATTGCATGAGCATCCTTCGTTTTCCATGCGTGCTAAGCTGAAAATGTGTACGATGTGTAAAACGCGTACTAATCGAATGCAGAAAAGAAAAAAAAAACACGAAAGCCTTACGGTACATAAGTCTACAGTCGTTTTAGAGCTATTCATTTTAGTTTAATATAAAAGTTTAATATAATACCACTTCGCAACAATATAATGTCATATCATGACAACTTATCCTAATGCCAGATTTTAATTCTAACGGACTCTAACTGTTTTTATAATTCTAACACATTTCATTTTGTCCTGGTAAGTCAATTATTTTCCAATAATAAAAAATTCATTTCTATTGTAGGCGTTCTAATCGCAGATTCTTGACTACAAAAGAGACTTGCTGCTGTATCTTAACGAGATGATATTTTTTGAGTCGCAAGTAATTATTATCATACTGGTTTGCATCGATTATTTGATACACTTATCAACTACTAACATTCTATCCAATTATCTTAACTTTGGCAATGTATGTATATAAACGATGGTGTATACATAGAAAAATATCTTTTTACTACTAACAAGGGAACTGCTTGCGACCATACATTGATACTGTAATTTTTTTATTTTTATTTAATAAAAATATTACTTCTTCTTACAAAAATATTTTTTATAAAATATTTTTGCCGTTTTATAAGTAAATGTAACAACTGAATCCAGAGATAAAAGGTGGTCTGTTTTAATCAACCCACTAGAATATTTCAAAATCCTTAAGTTTAAGACAAAAATGTTTCTTACAAAAGTTACTTACAAGTAAACCCACGGAAGTGTTCCTCTTCGATTTCGATGAGGAATATATTGTAATATATTGTAATATATTGTAATCTAGACCAAAAAAGAAACACGTATTTTTTTATATGTGCCCACTTATACGCACTTTTAAAGAGTGAAATACCCCTTCGAAAAAAATCAGTTTTTTTTTCGCAGCTAATATTGTTCAAAGTATACGAGATAGAAAAAAAATTTTTTTAATACAAATCGAGTTGGTTTAAAGAGTACTTTATAGTGATATTATCGGTTCTTTTGAAAAATATAATTTTAAACATACTCTTACCACTTATTATTTTTTTTGCAATCTAAAAATTTTTTTGAATTAAATTAAAGGATATTTTTTTCCGAATTCAACCATATATAACAATGTTATTTTCCGAGATACGAACCGATCGTAAAATAGGTGGAAAATCCTCCATACGTGTACTATCTCCATATGCGCCGCATAGCTGTGTAGTAGCTCGCTCGATACAACGACGTAAAACGTTCAGTTCGTACTGTCTCGTAATAAGAGATAACAAATAGTACACATTTGTAAGATATATAACTGTATAACATTTCAATATATATATATATATATATATATATATATATAACAACAACAACAATAATAATATCTAGTAACAGTATTTAATAACAGTTAGTATTTAATAACAGTATTTAATAGTATCAATAATAGTATTTCTAGTAACAATGATAATAGTTATTATTAGGACCTTAACTTAGTTTCCGCCCGCAAATGTTAGATGGCAATGCAAACAGTTCTAGTAGTCATTACTAACGAAACAGGTAGTTTGTGATTAATTTCGACATTTCTCGATAACATTCAGTCAGCATACACAATTATTTTCCTAAACAACAATTTCTTTTGCTTTGTGAAAAATGGAACGCGATAAAGTGTTTTTTCGACATGTGCTTTTGCACTATTTTGATTTGAAAAAAA